AGGGTGTGTTTGTTCGTGGGTTTTAGATTTTGGGTTTGAATTTTTTAATACTAAAAAGTTGATTTTGAATAATTGTTTGACGTAATATAAATAGAGGTTGATGTGATTTTTTGAATGTAAAATAAATTTATAATATAATATAAAAAAAAAGAAAAAAATTGTTTTACGTTATATTTTTGAAAAAAAAATAAAATTGAATAGTAAAAATGTGTGATAAAACTCACAAAAGAACACAGTCTTACCAGATAAGGTGCCTGTAACATTGGTGAATCATTTTTAACCTTCAAAACAATTTTTCTTTTTTCTTTTTTTTTGGATAATTGATTGTAAAAGTCTGACCTAACTACTCAATAGTAGTGTGTGTACGGACTTGACAACTTAAAAACATATCATATAATAGCAACACATTTTAATCAATTTGTCCTGCATCAAGAACTACATTTAATGTCGCAATATATTTTTCTGTACAATAACAGTGAGTGAAGAAGAAGAAGAAAATAGAAGTAAAATTAAAGTACAATTTAATACTCCATTCATCCCATATTTATCTATATATTTTTTTTTACATAATTTTAGAAATATTAGTATTATATTGAAATATAGTATAAAAGGTAAAAAAGCTAAACTAACTTTATTAGTATTGTATAATATAAATGTAATGACATTTGTTTAATATATTATAAATTGGAAGGGTATTTGTAATGTTAGGTAGATTGTATAATTACTTTGTTATGAAACAGACCAAAATAAAAAAATAGATAAATTGTTAAAAGACAGAAGGAGAGAGAATAATTATATAAAAAAAATATTATTATATTAAAAAAAAAAAGGGGCAAAGTGGTCCGCCCTTATTGATGATATTGTTTTATTAATATTGTATTATATAAAAATAATATTATATATATATATACGGTTATATTTATGTGTTTTATTTTGGTGCAGGATTATTAATATATGTATGTATATTATGATAAGTAGAATATTTTTTATATATTTATATAAATATAGAGAGAGAGATAAGTATAATAATTTTTTATATATTTATATAAATATAGAGAGAGACGAGAGAGTGAATGATATATAGAGATTAAGTGAATGATGAATATAGATAGTGGAATACTTCATTTCAATGTGTATTTATTACACAATACAATCTCATATTTATAAGTAACTGAGGCGGTAAAATAAATAATTGTAAAAGCATCCACATCCTGTCGATGTAGCTGCTGCGTAGTTTATAATACTCCCCATTGGATGCTTTTATATAAGGAATGTGCCTCGTTAAAATAGTACTATGAAAAAACCCTATGGAAAAAAATCATAGTGAAGGAAAAAGAGTACATCATTCTTGTATTAATGTGCTCCCCCTGTTTTGGACTTTATTTGATATCTTTCATCCGACGCATTTCAATTCCTTGCACAAATTTGTTGAATGTTGCAGTCGGTAGCGCCATTGTAAATAAATCTGTAAAATTTTCAGACGAACGAATTTGTTGCACATTAATTTCACCATTTTTCTAAAGATCGTGAGTGAAAAAGAACTTCAGAGATATGTGCTTTGTCCGATCGCCTTTAATATATCCTCTTTTTAATTGAGCTACACAAGCTTCATTATCTTCAAATAATATTGTAGGAGGTAATACATCATCAGAAATCAAGACACATTTTTTCTGAATATGGTGAGTCATAGACCTCAATCAAACGGATTCAAGATTGGCTTCGTAAATTGTTAAAACCTCATGATGGTTTGAAGAGGTAGTTGTTATTATCTGTTTAACAAATCTCTAAGAGATTGCGGTTCAGCCACAAGTAAATAAATAGCCAGTTTGAGATTTTGCTTTGTGTGGATTAGACAAATAACCAGCATCAACATAACCAATTAATTCATTTCGAGATTCACTCGAATAAAGTAGACCAAGGTCATGAGTTCCCTGAAGGTAACGAAAAATGTGCTTGATACCATTCCAATGGCGCTTTGTAGGGGATGCGTTAAACCTGGCCAGTAGATTTATTGAAAAATATATGTCTGGCATAGTACAATTTGCAAGGTACATTAATGCTCCAATAGCACTGAGATATGGTACCTCAGGGCCAAGTATTTTTTCATTTTCTTCTCTTGGCCTAAATGGATCTATACTGGGATCAAGGGATCTGACCACCATTGGTGTACTCAGAGAGTGAGATTTATCCATATAAAATTGCTTTAATACATTTTGGGTATATGTGGATTGATGAATAAATATCTCATTATTAACATAATCTACTTGTAATCCAAAACAATATTTTATCTTTCCAAAATCTTTGATCTCAAATTCTTTCTTTAGATATTCAACTGCAATTTGGATCTCTTCTGAAGTTTCAATTAAATTGAGATCATCAACATATATTGAAATAATGACAAAATTTGATCTATTTTTCTTGATAAAAACGCATGGGCATATTGGATCATTACTATAACTTTCTTTTATTAAACATTCACTCAGACAGTTATACCACATTTGCCTTGATTGTTTAAGTCCATACAATGACTTTTTCAATTTGATGAAATATGATTCCCTTGGGTTTAATTTGTATGTTTTAGGCATATTGAATCCCTCAGGAACTTTCATATAAATATCAGTATCCAATGAGATATAAAGATATGTAATAACTACGTCTAAAAGACGCATATCGAGTTTTTCTCGCACTGCTAGGCTCACAAGGTATCTAAATGTTATTCCATCGACAACTGGAGAGTGTGTTTCATCAAAATCTACTTTAGGTCTTTGCGAGAATCCCTGAGCTACAAGACGGGCTTTATATCTCACAATTTCATTATGCTCATTTCTTTTTCGTACAAACACTCATTTGTATCTAACTGGTTTTATATCATCTGGTGTTTGAACAATTGGTCCGAAAACCTCTCTTTTGTTTAATGAGTTAAGCTCTGATTGAATCGCATTTTCCCATTTTGGCCAGTCATTTCTTTGCCGAAATTCATGAACCGATTTTGGCTTTGGATCTCTTTTTCTTCCATTATATCAAGTGCTAAATTGTATGCGAAGAAATTATCAATAATTGCTTCTTTACAGTTCCAACATTTTCTTGAAGTAACATAGTTAATTGAGTTTTCAATAATCTCATCATGTTCTTTAAGATCGTGCTCTTTTGGAGCAATTATTTCAGGGTTGACTTTTTTAGTAGATTGAGGTTTATCAATGTCATTCGTGATATTTTGATGATTATCATCATTAATTCCTCTTTTCTTTCGAGGATGTTTGTCTTTGGAATCAAGTGGTCTACTACGCTTCAAGCGTGTCGCTGATTCATTAATACTTCCAATTTGTCCATCAGGGACAATTATTTTAGCCGGAGTATTAGCAGCTTGAATATATGATCGAGTGACTTTACTCGAGTCATTAAATGCATCCGGTAACTGATTTGCAATATTTTGCAAATGTATAATGCGTTGAACTTCTAGTTCGCACTGGTTTGTACGAGAAACACAAAAATTCAATGGGATTTTCCAATTAATAGTCCTTTTTGGTTCATTTTTGTCTCTCCCTAATTTCGGAAAATATGATTCATCAAAATGACAATCTGAAAACCTTGCAGTGAATAAATCACCTGTCATAGGTTCAAGATTTTTATAATTGACGGCAATTCATATCCAACATAAATGTCCAATCTACGTTGATGACCCATTTGTGTACGTTTGGGGGGCGGAATAGGAGCATAAACAGCACACCATAAAATACATAGATGAGATATATTTGGTTCATGACCAAAGGTTAACTGCATCGGGTAGTACCTATGGTAGCTCGTTGGCCTCATTCTTATAAGTGTTCATGCATGTAAGATTGCATGCCCCCAAGCTGAAACGGGCAACATAGACCTCATCAATAATGGTCTAGAAATCAACTGTAATATTTTAATAAGTGATTCTGCCAAGCCATTTTCTGAATGAACATGAGCAACTGGGTGCTCTACATTAATTCCAATCGACATGCAATAATCATCAAATGCATTCGATGTATATTCACCAAAACTATCCAGACGTATAGTCTTAATTGGATTATCGGAGAATTGTGCCTGTAATTTAATAATTTGGGCAAGCAATCTCGCAAATGTCATATTGTGAGTAGATAATAAACAAACATGAGACAATCTCGTAGATGCATCATAAGCATCATAAAATATTTAAATGACCCAAACGGTGGGTTTATTGGTCCACATATATCCCCGTATATTCTTTTAAAAAATGTAGGTGATTCAATACCTACTTTAGCTGACGATGGCCTGATTATCAATTTTTCCTGAGTGCAGGTAACACAGGTTAACTCATTTAAGTTTAACACTTTTTGACCTTTTAATGAATGGTCATGCGAATTCTCAATTATTCGCCTCATCATTATACTACTAGGATGCCCAAGGTGATCATGTCATATTTGAAAATTGGTAGTCTTTTGATCTACCGTGAGGTGTGTTTCAACAACATGTAATATGGCATAATATAAACTAGTAGAGAGTGAGGGTAATCTCTCAATTATGCATTTCTTTTTATCAATGATATTGGTAAGCGATAAAAATTCACCATCGGTATCACTCATAATTTCAATATGATAACCATTTTTTCGAATGTCATGAAAGCTCAGTAAATTTCTTCAAGCATTAGCAGCCAATAGTGCATACTGTATCACAATTTTCGTCCCCGCGAGGAGAAATATAATGGCTTCTCCAGAGCCTTCAATTAATTTTGCACTGCCACTTATTGTATTGGCATTCATTCTTTCCCTTTTCAAATAGGAGAAATATTTTTCGTGTTTCAATATAGTATGTGTTGTTGCACTGTCAATGAAATATATATTTGCATCATTTTGTTTGGCATCCATTTAACCTTCAAATGTTAATAAACGCAGTATTAATAAATATTACAAAATACATTACAAAAAGGTAATGTGCGATAATTTAAATATTACAAAATATAAAATGGCATAATGTAAAATGACATAGTATGTCTGTCACTGGGAATTTGCTGAATCTACAACAAAATTCGCTATATCAAGATGCGTTATGTCGTAATCCAAAAGATCATCATCGGGGTCGTCATCATTATCAACGTGATTAGTCTCGACCTCCTTCTCATTTTTCTGCAGTGAGTCTTGATAAAGATTAGCTAAGTGTTTGGTTGTTCTGCAAGTATTGGCCCATTGGCCTTCAATGCCACACCGATTACAAATGCCGATTTGCCTATTTCCCTATTTAGCCTTTTCGGCTATATCCCCATATTGGGGTTTACTCTACTTCCTATTAATGTCAAAACCGCGGTGATTGTAAGGGGTATATCGACCACGTTGACTCTCACGACCGCGACTACGTCCACGGCCTCTACCACGTCCTCGGCCTCGTTCAGAAAATGTCACATTCGCTTTAAGGAACGGACTTGAACCAGTGGGCCAGACTGATGATTTTTCATCAGCAACTCATTATTTTGCTCAACTAATAAAATACATGCAATGAGCTGTGAGTACTTTTGAAAGTTTTTCTCACGATACTGCTGTTGCAGCACAATATTAGAAGCATGAAAGGTAGAAAGAGTCTTCTCCAATTTATTATTCTCAGTAACAATTTCTCCGCAGAGTTTCAACTGAGATGTAATCTGATGGATAGCAGAGTTGTACTTTGTAACAGTTTTCAAATCCTGCAATCGCAAGTTAAGCCAACCATGTCGGGCTTTGGGGAGAGTGATATATTTCAAGTGTCCAAATCTCTCCTTCAATTCTTTCCACAAATCAAGTGAATCTTTCACTGTCAAATATTCAGACTCTAGAGGAATGTCCAAATGATGACGGATGAAAATAATAGCTTTAGCCCGATCTTGACTTGTAGCCGCATTTTCACTGGTAATTATATGAACAAGGCCCATTGAAATCAGATGCATTTCTACATCCAGGGACCAAGTCAAAAAATTATTTTCGGTGAGAGACAAATATTTAAAAGAAAATTTTGCAAGATTTTCCATAATTTAGAAAATAGATAATATAGATAGTATAAAAATAAAACTTACCAATAATAAAATAGGCAAGAACCTTCGTGCTGATAACGTGTTATATAATAATAATATTATATATATCCGGCTATATTTATGTGTTTTATGTTGGTGTAGGATTATTAATATATGTATGTATATTATGATAAGTATAATATTTTATATATATTTATATAAATATAGAGAGAGACGAGAGAGTGAATGATATAGAGAGGGAATGAATGATGGAGATAGATACTGGATTACTTCATTTTAATGTGTATTTATTATACAATACAATCTCATATTTATAAATGATTGTAAAAATATCCACATCCTATCAGACATGGCTGCTCCGTAGTTTATAACATATTGCAATATTTCAAGATCAATCTATTAAAATTTTTTTAAGTTTATTTGGTGTTGATTTGAAATTGGAGTAGTGATTTATATTTTGGTTTAATAATATTTTAATTTTTTATTTTATTAAAAAATAATATATTTTTTTATTGAAAATTGTGTCAAATCAATAATTGAATTTTTTATTTAAAATAAAACAAACAACATATTCAACAAAAAGTTTCTATTATCTTCATGCATATTCCCATAGCTGGTGTTTAAAACTAAAGTTTTAGAGGGTGTTTAGTAAAGAGTTTTTCTAAGAGTGTTTAGCTTATTCAACAGCTTTTAATTGTTTGACCAGTCAAATAACTAATTTAGGTGTTTGGTAAATTAGTTTGTTGAAATAGCTTTTTGGACAAAAAAAAAAACTAATTTCTAAAAACTAACTTACCTAGCGTTTTAAAATAGTTTTTTCAGTTTAAATTTTTTAATTTCTTATTTGCCCTGAAAAATTTATTATGCATTTACACAAATAAATATATTTTGATTATTTATTAATTATATTAGAATATTTTATTATGTTATATTTTTGCTTTTATAAATTTAAAATAATTAATTTTTATATATAAATTATTTTAATTGTAAAATATATAAATTTATTGAAAGCAACACAAAATAGAAAATATAAATATTAATAATTTATTTATATTAAAATTACATTATATAAATTTTATACTAAAAATAAATTAAATAAATTAAATTTATTGAAAATTATAAATATAATGAACTGATCGATAATTAAAAAAATAAATATATACACGAAAAATTTATTATTTTATATTTTATATCATTTTCAATAGAAAAAATTATATATATTTTTCAATAAAAATATATTATTTTTTAAATTTAACTATAATAAAAATAAATACTATTTTATAAATTTTTACAATTTTCAATAACTAATAACAAAAAAATTCAAACATTATAAACTCAAAAGAACACAATTGAATATATTTGAAAAAAATAAAATAGAAATGTCTTCAATTGTCATTTTACGTGTAAACAGTTAATATCAAACAATTGTTTTACCAAACATTTTGATACAAACAGCTAATTGAATGCTAGTCAAACTAGCTAATTGAATAAGTTAATAACTATCAGCTAATTGAATCAGCTAACAGCTAACGACTATCAGCTAATTGTCAAACACGCCTTAGTCAGTAAGCTAATTGATAAAATTAGAGTGTAGAGTTTTAGTCCGTAAGCTAACCGATAAAATTACAGTGTAGGTTTGATAATTTTGTTTTGGAGTGGGAATTTCGATTTATGGATCGATATTGAAAAATTCAAACCGATCCGAAGATCTAAACTTTTGTTTTAAAGAAAAATGTTGATTCGAACCATACTAAATTGTCCAAAATCTGAAATTTGAATCATAAAGTTTGAACCAAACTAAAAGATCCTAAATTTCATAACATTATCAAAATTGCAAAAATCCAATATATTTTTTTTTAATTAGATATTTTCATTAATAAAAGTCTAACCATAAAAAAAAAAAAAAAAAAAAAAAACACAAACACAAGACAAGATCATCTAACATTTAAATACTAAAGAAATATTAAATATAAAAAATCTAAAATATGTAAGAACCCCTAAAAATATATCGATCAAAACGATTTATCGTACATACAAATCCAGCCACAATACTAACTTGGTCATCCTTATAAGCTTATTTATAACAAACTTTAATTTGCTTCTAAATAAATTATAAACTCAAACCTCATATTGCAATATTTTTCATTAAAAACATATAGATATATATATAATGCTCATATTTTGACTGTGTATAAACACTACAAAAAAATAATATATTTGTAACGGAATTCCGTCCCTAAAGTTCACATAGCTAACGTAATTTCATTCATAATTCCGTCTCTAATGTCATTAGTAACGGAAAAGATTGATTTAGCTACAAAAAAAATTTGTTACAAAAATAATTTTTTCTTATAGTGCAAGTATAAAACAAAATTGCAAATATTAATACAAATAACTTTTAATTTTATGATATACATACATAATAGTAATTAATAACACAGAGAATGCAGTCAAAGAAAGACTTAATACATATGTTGGGAGTTTAAAAAGTAAATACTCATTTTATATTTTGGTTTCCTACCAGGAGTCAGTCACACTCCTAACGTATGCCATTACTGCTGCTATAATACTACTATTAATATTCCCTCTTCTCTTTACACAATCAAACTCACAAATTTATCCATTAAAATTATTATTATTATTTTTATGAAAATAATGGTGGTAATTATCTTATTGTACACAAGGTATATAATTAATAAATAATTAAGAATGTATTAATAAAAATTATTATAGATTGAGATTATGATAAGTAATTAGTCTAATGATCATTCAAATTTATGTCTATTTTTTTGGATTGCCATAAAAAAATACTTTTGTTTTCTTGTTTAGTAAATATTTTTATATTTATTTGCTAAAAAAGAAGAAAATAATTATTTTTATATTTTTTTTAATTAAAATCTATATCCAATTATATGGACATAATTTTATATGATAGGGAAACTGCTAAACATTACATTCTATATAAATATACAATAGATATAAAATAAAATTGATAATACATATTATACAATATGTATTATTTCTTATAATTTTATATACTATCTATCTATTAAATTTAGTTGTTACTAAATCTTCAATTAGCATATCCTAGCAAAGCAAAATAATTTATCACGACCCCCCACCACCACATCACAATAAATGCCCCAATTGAAAATGGTGATTAATATACATCTCAGAAGTCTGAACCCACCCACCCACCCCCAATATATAACATTACTGTTCTCAATTACTGAATCCAGTCCAATTCATTTTCCATGGAAGATCATCATGATCATGAGGTGTGTCTTGGGCTGGGATTGGGGCTTGGAATATCACCCAAAAGGGATCATCATCGTCCAGGGAAGAAGAACAAGCACGTTCTGTTTCTTGATCTTTCCATCCCCCTTCAGACCAGTAGTACAGATCATAATCACAATCGAAGCTTGAAGAAGATCATGGCAGAAAGTCGACCAAAAAATGTAAGAGGATGCACCACTAAAGAAGACGACGACGACGATCGTGGTCGTGTCAACAATGGTTTTTGCAGAAAGAAATTGAGACTCACAACTGATCAGACTGCCTTGCTTGAAGACAGTTTCAGACACCACACCACTCTTAATACAGTATGTCTCTTTCTGTGTAGTAGTCAAATTTTATTTAATTACCATACGCAATTCCATTCATTGATTAATTCTGAATAGGAATTTGGGATTTATTTTATTTTTATTTTTATTTTTGGAAGGCACAAAAGCAAGCACTTGCAGAGAAACTGCACCTAAAACCCAGACAAGTTGAAGTCTGGTTTCAAAACAGAAGAGCCAGGTCAGTTTGATTCATTCATTCATCAATTATCATTATTCTTTTTAAATATAAATCATGTATGGAATATAATATTTGTAATGAAAAAACAACACAATAAATCGGGATGCTTACTTGGGATTGTTTTTGTGTGTTCATGGTTTTTAGGTATTTTTTGAAGTGAAATAAATAGCTGTTTAATGGGATGTTTTCGATGAAAATTTTGAATTGGATTAAGATACATACAAACTTTAATTAATCCCCAATTTTGTAAACTGCGCAGGACGAAATTGAAGCAGACAGAAATAGATTGCGAGATGTTGAAGAAATCCTGCGAGAGATTAAGCGATGAGAATCGGAGATTGAAGAAAGAGTTGCTGGAGCTTCGATCGTCCATGGAAAACCAACCAGCCATACACACAACTTCCAATTCAGAGGGCCATAAAATCTGGACACCTATGGCCGACGGAAAGAAGAAGGAAGCGGCGGCTATGGCTGCCACGACGGCGGCGGCCGTCGTGGAGGTGGTCCATGGGTTAGCCCTACCTAAACCTAATAATGACGATAAGCAGCCAAAGCTAGGGTTTATAGGACAAGCGAAAATAAAGGGAGAATAAAATCTAACTCATTATTCTCTCTCTCTCTCTCTCTCTCTCTCTCTCTCTATATATATATATAGTAGATTTATACGATACGATACGCCTGCTACAAAATTAAACTTTGTGTTATAATATAGCAATGATTATTCAGTATCTATCTTTAATAAAATATAGCAAGTTTAGAAATGTTGCCCTACTCTAGATCTACCATTATATATATATATATATATATATACACGCACACGTGTGGGAGGGATGGTGAGGATCTCATTCCGTATGTATATATACAACTACGTGTCTTTTTTCTAATTTATTTTGTATGTGTATAGGTAGCTAACTAGGTATATATGTAAGAGAGGTTTAAGAATGACAATATTTGGGGTCGGCTCGGCTCGGCTCACTTCGAATCTGACCATGGGCTTGTTCTTAATGGTTAGTTCAGTTTAATTTTATTTTTATTTTTATTTTTAATTAATAAAATGACATAATAGGTGAGCTCACTGCAAGAAAAAATTATTTTTGTAACAAAACTATTTTGTCTCTAAATCTACTTTTTCCGTTACTAATGACATTAGAGACGGAATTAGGAATGAAATTACGTTAGCTACGTGAATTTTAGGGACGGAATTCCGTTATAAATATATATATATTTTTTGTAGTGGAAGGGTTGAGGTGGGATTAATAATATATATGTCTCTGAATAACTCAATATATATTTACAGAGATCTTGTACCGATTATAAACTTGTTCCGATCTCTCTCCTCTAGACTTTGTGTTCATCATGTTCCTTCCTGGGATTACTCATATGTTTGGATTGCTTTGTGTTGAACCTAATGATCCTCCCTTCATGATGTTGCCAAATAGGATGATTTGGAGTTATTGGCATAGGAGTGCGCTGTAATCTTAACCTAGAAAAATCTCAAAATATTTACATAGCATTATTTTATATTTCTTTTGATTTATTATCTAATTATCTTTCTCTTTTTATTGGCTAATTTTCTTAGTGAGAATTATTTATTAGAGGAACAATTTATTGATTCTGTAGATTAAATTTAGTGTTGAATCAGAATTCTTTATTTTGCTCCAGATTAGTAACTAGTGGTTAACCTTAATTTTTTTATTTATTAAATAGTTTTAAGTTAATTTGTGGTTGAATTTACGTGATTAATTATATGATTTATCACTTTGTGATTAAATCTGAAATTTCAATTTTATTTGAAATTGTAATAATATTACCATGTAATTGGCTACTCCAAAAGCGAGTAAGTTGCTAACTACACTACAAAAAAATAATATATTTGTAACGGAATTCCGTCCCTAAAGTTCACGTAGCTAACGTAATTCCATTACTAATTTCGTCTCTAATGTCATTAGTAACGGAAAAAGTAGATTTAGAGACAAAAAAGTTTTGTTACAAAAATGATTTTTTCTTGTAGTGCTACTGATAATTAGTGATTTTTTGTGACATAATTGGTGTAGTTTGTGTTGGTATTAAGTATTTGGCTGAACCAAAAGAGTAAGTACTGACCACTGATAGTTATTTTGTATGACCCTTTTGTGATATTTTCGATATGTCTATTACTTCATTTAGTTTTGCACCTTTTGATGGAAAAATAAATTTTTATCTTGGAAATAAAAGATAAAAATTATTTTAACAACTCAAAAGCTTTGAAAAGCTATTAATGGTACATATAATACTCTAATTACTAAATAAAGAAATGGTGAAATGTATGAATTAATGCGTCTATTCTTTAATTATCTTGAACTTAATTTTCTTTGTGTAAAGAAATTTTGAAAAACTTGATTCGGAAAAGAATTTTGAGAATTATTAGAAGAATTTTATCCCTTAAATCCTTAACTTAAACTTGATTTAAATTACCAATAGATGAAAATTTTGATGTTTTCACTAAATAGTTTAAAATATAAAGCAAACAAAATATAAAAATATTGGTGAATATAAAGCAGAGTCACTTATACAATTAATGTTGTCGTTTGACTTCAATTTCGTGGCCCACTTGATGTTGTCAATATTTGAAATTACAAATGAACTAAATTTGGCTTTGCAGAAGGAAAAAAAAAAAAAAAAAAAAAAAAGACATTGTAAAAATGCGATGTTCATAGTTGATGTAACAAAGAAAACTCTTCAATATTTGAGAAAAAATGGATGGGAGATTTCATGGAGAAAAAGTTACAACATTTATAGTTAAGCATGAGATGGAGATTCTTGATATGAATGAAAAATATGTTATTATGAGGAGGAGGCGTTATCGTAAAAATAAGTCTTCATAATTGACAAATCTCCATCATTTTTGAGTTGAAGTATTATTAAGTTTAATCAATGTACAATTGCAAGAACTTGAAAGTCGATTCAATGAGGTAAGTAAAGAATTACTGATGTGTATGTCTTGTTTTCTTTCCTCTAATCGGTTTTCTGCTTTTGATAAAAAGAAATTGCAATGGCTTGCAGAATTTTCAGAAGCAGAATTGATGGGTTTTGAATATTCATCGGGTAATTTCATTACTAATATTCGATGTGATGAGAGATTTTGAGATTTGAAGGATCTATACGAACTTTTTATGAAGCTTATTGAGACAAAAAAAAAAAAAAAAAAAAAAAATTAAACACATTCAAGGGCCTACTTGCTATTGAAATTAGCTTCTTTAGGTAACAACTGCAATCTTGAAGAACAAATTACAAAATAGCATGGAAGATCAATTATAGAATGATTATTTAGTTACTTTTCTAAAAAGAGATGTGTTTACGAAAGTTAATATCGATGATATTGTCAATCAATAGCAAAATATTTCTAAAAAGAGATGTGTTTACGAAAGTTAGTATCGATGATATTGTCAATCAATAGCAAAATATGAGATCTCATCGTGAACAGTTGTAACTATTTTGATGTATTAATGATTGTTAATTTGAAATTCTATACTTTTTAATGCATATTTTTGTTGATGTACTTTATTATTCTCAATTTAAATTAATTAATTAATTCACCGAATTCAAATTGTAGATCAGCCACTTGTTGTAGTGCTATCTTACCCAAATTGTTGTAGTCGAGCATCATACCTTGAATAATATGCATCATCTAAAACATATTATAGCATAATAATTTCACCCAATGTTATTTAACTTTTCATCAAAGGTTTTACTCTTCCAAAAAAGCTGCTTAAATATTATGAATAGCATGTCTTAATGTAAGACATTTCTCATAATTTTATGAATAGCTGTTGTTTTTTATTATTATTTTATATTTTATTTATAAGCGTTAAAGAGAAAAAAAAAAATGGATATCAAAGAATAAAAACTGTAAATATATTAAAAAGATCCAAATTAAAAATATTAACAAAGATATTGAGAGGACGAAACATAGTACTCCCTTTGCCTAACATAAATTTAAAGAAATACTATTTAATTAGTTAATAATAATGTTTTATAATACTCTCTTCGTCCACTTACAATGTACACATTTACTTTTGACGCTTACTTTTTTTGTATAAAAGTAATAATGTGATGTAAAGTAAGAGTATTTTTTGGAAAAAAATGAGGTATTTAATGAAATGTTTACTTTGTAATTAGATGTCCAAAATAGAAATATGTATACTTTCTAGATAGACGGAGGAAGTATTATTTTTTATATAATTAGTAATATTTATAGTTTTAAAATAAATTTAATATGACTTTGTTCTTCCAACAAATTTATCGATTGCGATTCCCCAAAAATAATACTCCCTCCGTCCCACATACTATGTCCATGTTGCCGTTTATGTCGGTCCCACATACCATGTCACTTTCCTTTTTTGGAAAATAATTATACACTTTAATCTATTTTAAACTTTTTAATTTTATTTTTTTTAAATTTTAATTAAACTAATTAGTTATCTTAATCTTAATTTATAATTATTTATATTATAGAATAAATATTTTCACTAATACATTCTTAATTATCTACTAATTACACCCCTCCTAAAATACCGTGTCTACGGTGTAGCAGACACGTTATGTGGGACGGAGATAGTAATAAACAAATACAAATTTTTTTTCAAAAGTCAAAATGTCAAAGCAAACTTCAAATACTCATTACAAAAAGTCAAATATTCAATTTAAAATAATACTACATATATTATATTACCTCCGTCCGGTCCAGTTCTAAGGGTCTTATTTACTTTTTGTGTGTTAATTTTTTAATATTAATTATAATATGAAAACGTAGTACATATTAAAGAAAAATGATAAAAAAATTTCTATTAGTGTCTTATAATATTATTATAATGACATTTATGCAAAAAGAAAATTATACAAATATAATAATATTTTTAATGTTAAGTATAATGACGCAAAAAATAAATGTAACCCTTAGACCGGACGGAAGTACTATTTTTTACGCAGTTCCGCGTACCACGCACAAATAGCAATTCATTTAAAAACGCTGCGGGGACGGAGCCTATATTTGTTAAAAAAAAATAAAATTATATATTTAATTATTTTAAAAATTATATCGCAATAAAAAAATAAATGCAATATAGATATTATTTTGTAAATGATAAAATTTTCTAAAATACAAGTAAATAAAAAAATACCTTTTATTTATTTATAATTAATATAAATTAATTTTATAAAAGATGTGAAATTTAAAATTTAGATAAGAATACTTACTTTTTTATGAAAAATAGAAATAAAGGAACTTTAAATAATCCTAATGTATGATTTCATATGTTATATAATTAATTAAGTTAATTTATATTTATTACTGTTGATGCGTTTTTTTCAACAATAAAAAGTAAAATTCGAAAATAGAGAAATATTCCCGAAATTGATAGATGAATGTCTGAAATTAGAAATTTCTAAACACTGTAGAATGAAATAAGCATAAAATAAAGACTGGAAAATAAAGTGGTGATCCCCAAAAGCGATTTCCTTGAATTTGATGTCGATTGAAGATCCCCTCTCTATACCGTACAGAATCTTTAAATAGCCCCTTGAAGATACGGTTCGAACCGCTATCCGGTCGGTTACCCCAACCGCTGTTAACTCCCCAAAAAATTCTCTTCTATCGACACGTATGAGAACCGTCCTGTCACGTCTGTCTTTAAAAACCGCTCACCAGTCGAAACTACCCCCAACTACCAGAAACTGCATTTTACCCGACCTATAGGATAACTACT